CCACAACCCTGTTCCCCCGGGCGGTCGGGTCCCCCGCCGCCCTGTCGCTGTGCCTTAGTGCTGGCCCTGCCAGCGGAGGGGGGTGCGAGAAACCCTCCTCGGGCAACAGTGAAATGACTGGGCCAAAAGGAGAGTTTCCTGCTCAGCCCCCTTAGGGGGGGGCTGGTTTATGCGTTACTGTACAGTGAGAGCATGAAGAGCTGGAGTTTGCTGCACTCCCATAATGATTTTCTTTATCGTTGGTTTATTACAGATTTCATTAAATGTCAATAAAATCAAACATAATTGTCAGATGTTCTTTGGGCTTGTGGCATGTGGTGCTCATAATTTTACACTTTTTGTGAGTAAAAAGCAAATCCAATGTAAAGAATGCCTCAGTTTACATTCACCCAAAGGAAGGAATGGGGGACCTTTGGCAAAGACTTGAGTAAGTCTGCCAGGCATTTGGTGGACACCAGATGTTGGTGTTTATCTGATGATGTGGGAGGGAAAAAGTAATGATAGCAACCTGTGAAAGCTGTGGGCTTTATCTTACACTCAAGTTACAGAAATATCTGTGCAGGTAGTGTGCAAGGAAAAGGAATTTGCAAAACTTCCATAGTCAGAAGTCGGAATCTCTTTTTACAGTTGAGTAGCTTTGAGGTCTTAGCTTTTAAGACCCAGCAATTCAGAGAGGACAAAATAGTTATATATCATAGCTGTTGAACCTTTTGTGTTTTGCACACTAAGGATGCTTTCTGGTCCCAGACTTTTTTGTGAAATTTAGAGAACTAAACATTCTGATCTTTGGACATGAAAGGGAGAGTCTCATGCTAATTTTTTTTTCCTGTAACTCCTCTGTAAGAGAAAAAATAATAGTTGTCATAGAGTCACAGTAGTTCTCAGTGCAGACACCCAGCACCAGAACCTTCCATTTTTCCAGCACAAACCAAAAGATTTTTCTGTGGAATTTTGGTACTTTGGTGCATTAGAATCACCCAGAAGTTGTGTTTGAGGGGTTTTTTTCCTCCACAGTACTCACAGTTGCTAACATGTTAGGAAGTTGTTTATTGTTATATGCTTATGATTTTAAGATATGTAATTTCCCACTTTTTTTTGTCTCCCAGCAAGTATTCAGTCTATTAGAAAAAGCTTGGTCTGGTTCCCCTGTGCAGTTTGCTTGGCAGAAAACTTCGGGAAATTTCCTTGCTGTAACAGGGTAAGATTACAAATATTTATTGCATTTGTTAATAGAAATCACTGATGAAGAAAGGGAATTATTCTATATGTTAATCTTTTTTAGAGGTGATCGTGCTGTGAAAATTTTTGATCGCCATGGTCAGAAGAGAAATGAAATCAGCTTACCAGGGTAGGTACTAAGATAGGTTTAAATTATTTTCTTTGTTGTTTTCTTTAAAAATGCCTCTCTTCTGGTGAGGTGCTTATAGGTGCTTATATACACGTGAGAACTTTGTAGGAAGAGATACTGTCTCTGGTGAACATACCTGGAAAAGAAGACAAACTGATGAGCACGTGTGGAATCTGAGACAGTAAAAGCTGAACTCATAGTAAGCTATCAAGGGTAGTCAAAAAAATGTATTCTCCCACCCAAAGCACTCCTTTTTACTAATAAAGTCAATCTACTTCATTAAAATGTTAGATCTATCAATATATAAGGAAGAACACAATGAGGTTGTATACAGTATATCTGCGTCATGATGATTGTGACTGCATTCTTGCTACTGTCAGTTTTCTAGTAACTTGTTGTCATAGCCTCACTAAGGAAAGATATCCTTTTGGTTTAGTGCTTTTACTTACGTCGCTGTCATAATGCATATGCTGGCGTTTTTACTTTAGATCAAGAGTGTACTTCTGAAGTGAATCTCACTGTTTTTCCTGCTTATCGCACTTTGGTTCACATCAGAGAGTGGCATTGGAGTGTATGAACTAGATTCCTTTCAGAGGAAATTAAAAAGTAGTGTACTTTGGAAGATGCAGTCTGCTAAAAGGCAATCAGTCTATAGGAACAGGCTAGATACGACCCAGTGGAAACCTCCCTAGGTGCAAACACTGTGACATCAGGTTGTCATGCCATTTTGCTCTATAAATCTACTTTTATTGGGCACCATTACTACCTGATGTAGCAATAGTTTCATTTGCATACTCCTCATTTCTTTTTAGTATTTTACCTTCTCTTAGTTTAAGTATTCATACAAATTCCTGATATTTTATTTTATTTCTAACAATCTGATTCATTTTAATTAAGGTGGAGCCGTTAGTCAAGGCAAAACTCCTACTAAGGCTTTAAATCTGAAGCCTCTAATCTAGAAGTCTAACTTTTCTTTCTAGAGTGTCACTTACATATCCCTGTATCATTGGTGGATATGAGCCAGAATCACTTAGCTCCCCAAGAACTCTCTAGAAATCCAGTTTTTGCAGTTCATGGGAGTTGCCACCTTGCACCAAACCAAGAGATGCAATTCTCCTTGTCTTTTCCAGACTCGCTTGTATCTTACTGACCATCGCATCTTGCTGTCTTTTTTCAAAACCCTGCTCTGGTTAGGTGCCGTTCATAATGTGGGCTGGCTAGGTCAGTGTCTTTTGCTTGGTAGTATCCATGGCCTAGCTCATTCTGTGCTGTATTTTGCACAATGTATGATAAATGCTTATTCTCTCAAGCAAACTGCCAAAAGTGAGGAAAGCTGTGTGGAATCAGCGGTGAACTCTGAGAAGAGCTTGTGTTGGACTGAGGATCCTCTGCTGTCGTGTGGGTTGGTGAGGGTGGTGCGAAGGGGAGTCTGCCTTAGTGATGGACACTGATAGCGTTCCCTTATTGATGGACAGATGTGACCCTTTCCTTCAGGGAAACATATAACATCTAAACTAGTTTTAAAATAATGTTGTGTTTTCATGGCAAGGCAAGGAGGAGAAAAAACTTCTATAATAACCACATATCCAAAGGCTTGTCGAAATAATTAACACCTGCTTATGGTAATTTGAATAGTACTGAGTTTTTGAGACTCACCAGCAAATCTTCTACCTGGGTTAGGTAGTTCTTTTGAATTCTTATTTCCAACCTTTTGCTGTGATTGAAGAATAAATTCTGTCTAATTATTACTATT